ATCTTTTCCTTCTGCTGTTTTTTATTTTTTTAATAATGTGGTGATGAATGCCTTCACTTATGGGGGGACATTATCGCATCGTTGGACATTTTTTGCTGGATCTAATCCACTAAGATGGTATTTAAGTCGTGTCACTCCACCACTCTTCATTACCCGACCACAATATTTGCAAATTGTGCCATGTTTGTTTCCGTCTATTGGGTCTCCATGTTCCCAAGCTGGATCACGTTTAGTAACTCCATTGGACATCTTAAACATATCTATATTTATTTTTCATGAAAATTAGACAATTTTTTTTTGCAAAAAATATAGTACTAGTGATGACGGTTATATAAGAGAACCTAAATAATAAAATTATTATACAGAAGAATTAAATACGAAGTAAAGAAAATGATTGTAAAAATTTAAGTAATTATAAAAATAATATGGAATAATAAAACCTAATATTAATGAATAATAATCCAATATGATAAAAAAAAAATCCTAATATTAAACATAGTATTGATTCTAATGAATAATAATCCAATTTAATGAATAATCCAATTTGATAATAAAAAAAAACCTAATAGTAATGAATAATAATCCAATTTGATAAAAAAATAATCCTAATATTAAACATAGTAATGATTCTAATGAATAATAATCCAATTTAATAATAATCCAATTTAATGAATAATCCAATTTGATAATAATCCAATTTAATGAATAATAATCCAATTTGATAATAAAAAAAACCTAATATTAATGAATAATAATCCAATTTGATAATAAAACTTAATATTAATAAAATAATAAATAACATTAAACATATTAAAATTATCCTAGGGAATAATTACACAACATTACTTAATTACTTAAAAAAATTAACATGTAATTGTTAACATTACTTAATTACTTAAAAAAATTAACATACGAGTCCACACAAATTTTTTTGTTGTATAAATTACAATAATATAAATATAAGTTTGTAAACTTACCTTAAATATGGAACCCTTTGTGTTGAACCTTTGGAATGGATCTGGAATGACTCTGAAAGAGGTAAGGGAAGAAGAAGAAACGAAAAGGTGTAATAGGGGTTTTAATTTTCAAAGGGTCAAAAAATAAGTGATGATCTGATACAGAGGCTCTGATAATGTGAAAGAATATCACAGTGGCACACGGTTTTAAATGAAACCACCATCCATGGTCTGAAATTGTACAAGTTATAATTGTAAAATTGTACAAGTAATTCTAAAAGTTGTCAGTAAGTTCCTGAGTCCTGAGTCTTGAGTCCTGACAGGAACCACACACACACACACACACAGACATGCCACCACACACGCAGACACACAGAGACCTCAGTCTCTCTCTCTCGATCCTTCTCTCTTCTCTCCCTTCTCTATTCTCCCACACACACACACAGAGATCTCTCGATCTCTCTTCTCCCTTCTCCCACACACACGCACAGAGACCTTAATCTCTCGATCATTCTCCCACATGGCCTTCTACTCCTCCCTCGCCTTCCTCCTTGTCCGCATCTTCCGCCTCGTCAGCACCGTCTCGAGTCGAAACTCTCATCTCTCTCCTTTCTCTCTGCACCGAGACCCACATACACACACGCACACCATCGCACCTGCTTCAGGAAGACACCCACCTCGTCTTTCTCCCTCTCCTTCTCGTCTCTGCAACTCGGCGAACGAAGGAACCCTCCGGTGAGTTTCTTGAATTTCTCTGGTTAGGTAAGCTTCGGGTTTACCTCTTTCTGTTCTAGATTGAAGCTCAGATGTGAAATTTAAGTTCTATCTCGTGTTTTTGCAAGGTTTTTGGGACGAAATCGGCTCGGGAATAGGCACACCCATCTCCGGCGAGGCCGTGGGTGTCGACGAACTTTCCGAACACCTCCGACCGTTTCACAACAAATGGAAGTTATAAAAACATTTATCTCGTCTTCTATTTCATTTTGATACCTAGATCGGAGTCTAGGGTGCTCTTTTATAGTCGGCCGGAGCCCTATAAACTCCGGCGTTCTTCTCCGATTTGCACATATCTAAAATTTGGCGATATTATCGCGATATTTTGACGAAAACCAATTGGATACCTATTAAAATATCGTTACCACGAAAAACCGATAATATCGGCATTTAAGACCTTGGTCAGGAGATACTGAAATATCTCTGTGAGTCTTCTCAACCCCAAAAGAAATGGATAACTGTGACTTGACAGCAGTAGTCGCGTTGTTAAAAGAAAGGAAAAAAACTTCAAAGCAACCCAAAATTATTCATTACTCCAGCAAAATTAATAAAATCTCAAAACACCAGTTTTCTGTTCTTTCTTCCTGTAGCTTCTGCTCGACATGGGAATCAATGCACGACCGTGCTCGCTTGTTGCTCGACGATTGTAATTGCCGCAGTTCTTCAGTGAATCAGAGAGCTAGAGCTCATTGCCCGCCACCTTCTTCATCCTCTGCCCCTGCATCAAGGTTAGTAGGTCAGAAGTTGATTTGAACTCTCGAATCGATCCAACAACTTAAACTCATTCGATGAACAAATTCCCAATTCGTCAGTTTTCGGGTTTGCCCAATTCGATTCCAAAAGAACCCACCTTTACAAACCCCACAATTTCTGGGAGTTTTGGGAAAATGAATCGGAATCCGATTCCTATACCCCACAGAACGATTCCTGAACCCAAAGGGCAGGACCTTGATTTTGTCAATGTTGTAAACAGCCATCTGATTCACTCGGATTGGGCTAAGCTTAATCCCTTATCGACCGGTCTAACTGCTTTTAGAGTTAAACATATATTGCTGAAAATTCAGAAGGATTATGTTCTTTCCCTTGAGTTTTTCAATTGGGTTGCTGCTCGAAACCCGAATGCACATACCCTCGAAACACATTCCATGATTCTCCACATTCTCACCAAGTACCGGAAGTTCAAATCCGCGGAGTCTATTTCGAAGAAGATTCTTGTTTCGGGCTCAATTGATTTGCCTTCCAAGTTGTTTGAGGCGATTCTGTATTCGTACCGGTTGTGTGACTCATCTCCTCGTGTCTTTGATTCGCTGTTCAAGACTTTCGCGCATTTGAAGAAGTTTAGGAATGCCACAAACATGTTTTGTCAGATGAAGGAGTACGGTTTCTTCCCAACGGTTGAGTCTTGCAATGCGTATTTGAGCTCATTGCTTGATTTGCATAGAGCGGACGTTGCTTTGGCGTTCTATAGAGAAATGCGGCGTTGTAGGATTTCGCCCAATGTCTATACTCTTAATATGGTTATGGCTGCTTACTGCAAATCGGGAAAATTAGAGAGCGCTGTTGAGGTGCTCGAGGAGATGGAGAGCATGGGTTGTAGTCCTAGTGTGGTGTCGTATAATACACTGATTGCGGGACACTGTGATAAGGGTCTTATGAGTTCGGCTTTGAAGTTCAAAAACTTGATGGCGAAGAATGGATTGCACCCTACTGTGGTAACTTTTAACACGCTTATTGACGGCTTTTGCAAGGCAGGAAAACTACAAGAAGCAAATAGAGTTTTTAGCGAGATGAAGGCCGCAAATGTGGCTACTAATACAGTAACTTACAATAGTTTGATAAACGTGTACAGCCAGGCAGGTAATAGTGAGATGGGCACTAGGCTTTTCGAGGAGATGTCAAAGAACCGAGTAAATGCTGATATACTGACTTATAATGCACTGATATTGGGACTCTGCAAGGAGGGTAAAACAAAGAAAGCTGCGTATCTGGTTAAAGAACTTGATGCAAAGCACTTTGTCCCGAATGCCTCAACCTTTTCTGCCCTTATTGTAGGACAGTGTGTCCGAAAGAATGCTGATCGTGCCTTTCAGTTATGCCAAAGCATGATAAGAAGTGGTCATCATCCTGATGAGCAAACTTTGAAGACGCTTTTATCAAGCTTCTGCGATAACAGAGATTTTGATGGAGCAGTCCAAGTCTTGGAAGAAATGGTAGAGAGATCTATTGCTCTTGATTCAGGTATCTTATCTGATTTATGTCTAGGACTTCACCGATGTGGGAAAGAAGAATTGGTAAAGTCATTATGCGGTAAGTTGGAAGCTAGACGACTCATGCCTCAAGGTTTTGATAAAAGGTCGTACCCAGTGCACAAGGTTCCCGCTTTACGCAGGGTCTGGGAGAGGTGAATGTCGGCTAGAACTGAACATTTAAGTTTTTCGATAACATGTAGATTCGTGTTCTGTTTGTAACTTTGAAAGAAAAGGTTCAGCAGTGTTTTCGATTAAACATGTAAGTTTTTAAACTACTCTCTGTTCTTCGCTCTTTTTCCTTCCATCCGTCCGAAACTCTTGTCAAAAGTGCGATTGATGAGCAACCGTACATGACTGTGTCCCAGCAATAGTTTTTCCCCTGGAGTTTTTTCGAGTCGCCAAATATCATTCGGGTTTTCAAACCACACTTGGGGTGCGTTTGGTACGTGGGACGGGACGGGACGGAACGGGACGAGGCGTTCCGTCCCGCGTTTGGTGCGCCAAAAATGGGTGGAACGGGCTGTTCCACGGGACAGATTTTGGATGTTTTTGCGTCCCACCTCCACCCCCTGGAACGGGTTTGTTCCACGTCTGTGGAACACAATGTTTTACCATTTTAAGACAAATATACCCCATGTCTTTTTCAAAAATTACACCTTCGTTCCGTCCCGTCCCGTTCCGTCCCGTCTGCGTACCAAACACACCCTTGAGAATTGAGATACAATACTAATGTTGGAGAGTTACTTGAGTTCCATCACTTCCAATCTCATTCGTTACGTCCTGCTGCAAAAGGAAATAAGGAAGGGCAATTAAGTTCAGATAATTCCTTCTTGTGGTGTTCCGAAACCATTCATTCTTGTGTTGCTGCCTCGAAAATCTGGGCCAAACTCTTCCGATTGGACCCGATTCTCGAGTTTGTGCTTCAGGTGGCACAACGTTTGTGTAACTGCAAGTCGAACACTTGCATATACCCAGTATGCTGTATCTATGAAAATATATAATATCATCCAATCGAGACCCAGAATGCAAAAGCTCTCAAAGCAACAACTCTTAACTCTCTAACAGCGTAAGGTGCCAAATGTGCGTACAACAAATCAAATGTTTTCATCAGCTCTGTGTAAGTATCGGAATTACAAATTTCATATAGCGAGGACCTGCTCGAACCACCTACTTAGATATATCAGAGATTCTAACTACGTTACGATTCATCTTCACCAGCTTCAGCGGCAGCTATCTGAGAATCCAACGTGTTTATCAGCTGCTCACTAACTGTTTTTGCCACGGATACCATGTCGAGAATGATGCTTGGATCAAGGCCTGCACCACCCCGTTTGGTCAACCCGCAGATGTGCCCTTGCCTATTGACGGAAATTGAAACAGCCGAGCTCATTTGTGATTCCTCTTCTGAAGTGGCATCCACAATATAGTGCTTACCTACCTGAAAAATATATGCAGATGATTCAGTACAGGGCATAAAGCATTTGCAATTTGCTAAAGGACAGAGGAGACGGTTAAATTTTGTCACCTTTGTTAATGTAACTATGACAGGGACCTTAGATGTGTCAAATTGCAGAAACTCCTCGTCGCTTACATCAACCTCCGGTTGCTCATCCCCAGATGCACCAGCTGCAACATTTACTCTTGGGATGCCTGTATTGCTCAAAGCAGCCTTTGGGAACATAAGTTTCGTTATCTTTCGTTTTTTTTTTTTTTCACTTTATTTGGAAACAGAAACAACATCAAGTGTAACTCTTAATTCTTGCTAGCCACTAAATTTTGATGTGCAAACACTTTAGAGACTCAGTGTCAAATATACCTGCTGCCATTACAAGATACGAATTGTTGTAAAGACCGGCTTGCAAGAGCACTAAGCTCGAACTAGGAAATATCGGGATAGAATTATATTTACTAATTTATTTATGCTCAATGATTATATAAGTAATGTGTAAACAATTATCAAGTACCTTTATAGCAGCACCTAGGGCATCTAGAAGATTCCCATCTGAACTGACAACAAGGCCGTCAATGTAAAGATCCCAACAGATCTTTCCTTCCACAACTACTAGAGAGGAGAGTTCAATTCCAGCACCTGAGACAAACAAAGGCACCCATATTTTAACTCTGCAGTTGGATTCAAATACGTTCCACTGAGAAACTATTGCCAAAAGTGAAGACAGACCAGATCCACTTTTACCACCCAAGAGGCAATGTCGAAGAGCCACTGAGAGTTCTGCTGACAGCTCCTCACCCCCTCTACCCTGCAGACATGTTAAAAAAACAACAGCTTGGCAATAAGTATAAATGCATTGGTCATACAAAGGCAAAATAGATATTCATCCTCTGCAATGGACCAGTAATTCATACACCAAACGGAGAACTTCAGATTGCCTAATGAACAATGAACATAAACTGAGAGATAGTTCCTTCATATTTTATCAGTGCGTGAATTCAAAATAAAAACATAGTAGACTGTCTACAGGCTCATGAAGAAACCAAGATGTCTAGAAAACCTTAATTCACAGAGTAAAACATTAGAAGAAAAAAGATGATCAAAGCGTTAACCTCAAACATTGGTGCTGCGGTTGGACTGCAATCGACGTTTATAAAGACCTTTCCTTTGTCGGGTTGCAGTGCAGTTGGCCTTCCAAGTTCAGCCTGCACTCGGTCAAAATTACCAGCAAATATGATATTACAAACAACAGCATGTAAAAGTATGAGCTTAAGATCAACACCGTAACGATACCTTCACACTAGCAATGACATCCGTAGCCCCCATCCTGACCCTTGCCGAACCATTTGCCTGCGCAACGGCCACAAAGAACGGCAATTATAACTAAATAAGTAAAATTTCATGTTGCACAAAGAAAAAATGCACTACTTTTAGTGAAAATATGACAGATATTAACCTGGGAAATTACTCCAGTTTTGACATTGATGGGCCGAGGCGTCAATCTTTTTCGACCATCAGAACGAATGTCCTGTGCAATACCGCCCTGTATAAAATGCTTTTCTCCTATGGATAGTCCCACCATTTCTGATATAATTAACTTCATAAATATCAAGAAAAAAAATGAATTACTGCAGCAATATATTACGTCTATAAATAACTAAAAAAGGGCACCAATCCTGAGTGCTCGTATGTCAAAGAGAAAATCTACAGTTTTCTCAATCAACGTCAACAACTAGGTCTAAGTAAAGGCAGCAACTTGGAATGAAAAATTGTCAACTTTTCAACGAATATTAACAAGCAAAGAGGAATAATTACCGAGCAGAGACAATGCTGACGAAGCCCTAATCAGTGACAGAAGGCGGTGGCCGTGGCTGTGGCGGCGTTGCTGCGGCTGAGAGAAGATGCAGAGGAAAGGCTGTAGGGCTTAGGGTTTAGGGATTTCAACATCTGAAATTAGGGAATTCCGATTACGGAATCCGGTGTTACCAAATTTAAGGGAATCAAAGTTTAGTGGGTCCCACGCAAATTTTAGAATCCAATTCCGAAATTTGGAGGAATTAGACTCCTAACAATTAGATGGTATTTGGATTCCGGAGGATTGAGGGGGTGAGGAATCCATTTTTCTTACCCATTGTGCCCTCGCATAAAAGTTGAAATTCCAAATAAACCCAAGCTCTCGTCCCCAGTGTTATCCCTCTCCTTCTCCCTCACCAAACAACAGCAAACCCAAAACCAATTTAAAGAAAAATCTGAACAGAATCGACAGCTCATACAAATGAAAAGGATTGAGAGGAACTCACTCAACATGAAAGTATTCTAAACGAAAAAAATGGGAAATTGATTCGGAAGCTGGCATCAAAATTCGAGGAAACCCATGTACTTGGATAATTCCAATGATGGATGATCAGATGAGAGAAGCACGTACCTCAATCAAACAAAATCGAGGGTAGCAGTCGGATTGAGGAAGATCGAATGGAATCGAGGACGCAAGAAACAAAGACCTCTTCTTCCTCTCAGTCTCCAAGTCGCCCTTTCTTCTGTCTCTCTCTTACTCTCCTTTTTCTTTTTCTGTTTTCCTATTTTTCAATACTATGTAGCACACTTTTAAATTTGCGTCGTGTTGAGGCAAGTATACAACATAGGCACATCCAATAACTTTATATGAACATAATTTATTTATGTAAGGGTAATATAGTAATCCATTTAGTTTTCATTCCGATTCAACTGAATAAGTAAACAACTTATATGGACTCAACATCATTCCTACTCCGATTTCAGAAAGTTTTAGTAAACAACTTCAACAAGAATCTGATTCTGATTCCATTTCATTTCAATTCCTCCTCAATCCAATTCCTCATCGATTGCCATTAGGGTATCCGCTTTTTATTTTTCTGTTTTTTTTCTTTTAGCAGGAACAGCTTCTTCTAAAAACGACAACGTTTTGCTGGTAAATTTCCCCCTCGGGAGACGCTCTATATAATCGACACGTGTTGCTTATATCTTTTTCAACCGTCAGATTAGTATACGATGACACGGCGCGTGCACATCGCCGGTGAGGCCATGAAACTCGAACCTAACCGAAAATTCCCAAATCTTCCACCTGTGAAAAATTAGGGTTTTTCATTTTCTAGGGTTTTGTATTCGGTTCGTCTCCCGGAAAATTTAACTGATCCGATGGGTCGTTCCCGCGCGGTTTCGCAGGCGGCTGTCGACAACCACAATCAGAGGTCAGTGCAATTTTTACCAATTCGCTGCAAATTTTCAAGCTTTATCAGACGATAAGCAATTTAATTTCCCAATTTCGTCTAACAGAAATTGTTTACTTTTTGTGTAATTTTCAGTAGGGGCAAAAGAAAGAGAACGGCTTCGGGGGCGGAGGCGGCGGAAAACAGCGGCACAGCTCAGAAATCTGTGGCCCAAGAAATCAGCGAACCGAAAGGAGCTTTCTACCATTGCAATTACTGCAACAAGGATATTTCTGGGAAAATTCGGATAAAGTGCGTGGTTTGTCCAGATTTTGACCTTTGCATTGAGTGCTTCTCTGTTGGAGCTGAGCTTACACCTCACAGATGCAACCACCCTTACAGGGTTATGGTCAGTCCCCTTTACATTTTCAAAGTTGATTTCTTTCTGGTACATTAGACTAGTTGAAATTGCTTGAAGAAATTTTGAATTTTTAAGCTTTGAGTATGGCTAGAGCCAATTTTAGAATTTGGAAATGGAAAAAAGCGAGACTGGGATGACCTTGGTGTAAAATGCATTAATTGGGAAAAGATTGAATCGGTTTTCTGACCCGAATTGAAGCTCTATATACTTATACTGCCTACAAATAAGAATGTTTTCCTTAGAATCATAGAATGCAAGCAACAGCCCCATTTAGATTCACCTCAAATCTGTGTAAGCATCTATGAGTAATTATTTTTATTTGTATATAGAGTATTTTTCGAGCTTGTACTTTCTTGTCAAAAATAGGAGATGCTTTCAATATGACATGGACTATTAATCAAGCATGCATATATAGGAAAACTAATGAAAAGGGCTTGAAAACTTTGAGTTTTAATGATAAGGACAAAATAAAGGGTAAAGTGAATAGTACCAGGATTGACTTTTTAGTGTAAAAATGTGGTTTTTCGTTAAAGTGAACAGTACCGGGTGCTTTTCATTAAAGTTCCCTATAATATATGCAAACTTTTTGGTTTTTAAACAGGACAATTTGGCTTTCCACTTATCTGTCCAGACTGGAATGTGGATGAAGAGATGCTACTGCTCGAGGTATTGAATATACTGATTTTTTTTTTTTTTTTTTCAATTCTTATGATAAACCTGTATCTTTTATTTTTCCGGTGAAACTAATAAATTTGTGTCGTGTATCACTTGTTCTTTGATCATGCTGCTTAGGGTATTGAAATGTATGGATTTGGGAATTGGACCGAAGTTTCTGAACATGTTGGAACAAAAACCAGACAACACTGTATTGACCATTATAAAGCTATTTATATGAACTCTCCGTTCTTTCCTCTCCCAGTAAGACCAGTGTTCTAATTAATGCATGTCCCCACACACATGATATACACACATAAATTTATAAAACGCAGAAATTATTACTAATAGTCTTCATGATATCCCTTAGGACATGTCTCATGTTATGGGAAAGAGCAGAGAGGAGCTTCTTGCTTTGGCTAAGGGGTCTGATGAAATCAAGAAAGGTTAGTTTGCGATGATTTCTTATTAGCTGATGCCTGAAAGCAGCTGTGTTTTGGTGTGTGATTCATGATTTAAGATGCTTCAATTGGTTAATATGGAACCGTTCAGTGGCTTAAGTGATGCATGCTTGTTGAATGTGGTGAATGGTGATCTTCTATTCTGCAATTTGTATTCAAAGGATCCGCGAATTGTTTTCCAATGCTATGTGTTATTTGTTTGTCATAGATACTGACAATCCTTTGGATTAATTAGAATGTCTGGCTCGTCTGTTTCGTTTTTCTCTGCAGAAGTTCCCATGCTTGTGGAGATTACACTGAAAGAAGTGTCTCCCTTTTCTGCAGAAGTCAAGTATGGTATTTTTATTATATTTAGTTCCTACTTTAGGTTCAAGCACTTGTTCCATATCTTCTTTTTAATTTGTTTCTTAATTTTATTGATCAGATGTGAAGAATCAAAAAACAATCCAGCTTCCCAATCGTCGTCCAACTCAACTGCTGGTACACCAGCCAACATATTTGAGGCAGTTTTTAGCAATCTCATTTTTGTCATGTGTGGTTACCAGTTAAGCATGCCTGGAAATGTCTGATTTTCTGTTTTGCATCAGATGTTGCCAAAGGGTTGGTCCCAGGTGCTGTAAAGAAGGCATCCAACAAAAAGCAGATTAAGGACGAGACTAAAGTCAGTAAAGTGGAAGGTATGGTTTTATGGTTACTTCCTGTATCACAATTATTGTACATGTACTGCATCATACACATATCTACTTTTACATGTCTTTAGAATTTCACTAACTGACTTTTTTCTTAATTGTAAGAAGCATTAGTTATGTATATCCACAAAACTTTATTGCCCAGAAGTTATTTCCCCCACAGAATAGTTGTTGTCACTTAAATATTCATGTTATACTTGATACATATTTATATATTATGGATTTGTCATGTATTTGGTTTAAAGCTCAGTTTTATGTATTATTAACAGAAACTCAAGTTGACCGGAGCGTTGGAGAAAAAAAACTGAGGAGTTTAGGGGAAGAGGGACCTATTACAGAATTCAGTGGCTATAATTTCAAGAGGGAAGAGTTTGAAACTGAATATGATAACGATGCTGAGCAGATTCTGGCCGATATGGAATTCAAGGATACTGACACTAATGCTGACCGTGAATTGAAACTACGAGTTCTGCATGTCTACGCAAAAAGGTATTTATATGGCAACTTTGATAGATTAAGGCTGATAGGTCTATTTTCAAGTTCAAAGCAATTTTAAGGAAGGGAACAATCTAAAGTTTTAACAAGATGAAGTGATTATTTTCGTTACGTTCAGAAAATTTATACAGAATTCTATTTCTGTCATAATTATTGCAAATGCTAGGCAGCATGTCACACATTATCTCATACAAGTGATACTGTATCTCACCACGTAACAAGTTAGCCTTGCTGTCTGATTTTCCCCTTTTTTCCCCTTGTTATACTCAATTATATGTGGGAATTTGGCAGGCTTGATGAGAGGAAACGTAGGAAGAAGTTCATACTTGAAAGAAATCTGCTTTACCCCGACCCTTTTGAGAAGGGCCTCGCACCTGAAGAAAGAGAAATATACAAGCGCTTCAAAGTTTTCATGCGGTTCCACTCAAGTGAAGACCACAAGGAATTGCTTAAGAATATCATTGAGGAACAACAGATTGTCAAAAGAATACAGGATCTTCAGGTCTGATGCATGCCTCACACTTGACTTGTATTTCTATTACCTTATTTCCCCCTCTATACTGTGGGTTGCTCTCGTTGAGTAAACAATGGGAACATGACTACATTATGTTTGTCACATTCTTTTACATGATTCGAAGTCAAAGGTACCGTGGCTTCCCACGGTTAATGTGACTAGTTCAAATTACCCCATAATAAACCACTCAAACTCAGTTACCTTTTAACTTCCCATCACCACGTGAACTCATTTTGTTAGTTCTCTCGGACCGTATAATAAAAAACGACCATGTTGCATAGCGTCTTCTCAAATTTTTTTTGCATTAACTATGCAGGAAGCTCGAACTGCTGGCTGTAGGACAGCTTCTGACGCCAGTAGATACCTTGAAGAGAAGAGGAAGAAGGAAGCTGAAGAAAGTGCCCTAAGGATTAAGGAAAGCTCACAGGCTGGTAAAGGCTTGCAGATCAGCCCTCGGGGATCTTTCAAGGGATCCACAGTTCTGCATCCCTTCAGCAAGGACTCATATTTAACTACGCAAGCTATTTCAAGCTCCTTGGATTATTGGGATGTCACTGGGCTAGCCGGGGCTGATTTACTCTCCGAAGCCGTAAGAACGCCAATCTCAACGTGCTTTTTTTTTTTTTTCCTTTTATGCGCGAAATTATGTTTTATGATAGTCGATGTGGGGCATAATACATGCAGGAACGAAGACTTTGCAGTGAGATCAGAATTCTACCTTCACATTATCTCAACATGCTGCAGACCATCTCCATAGAGATTGTAAACGGCAATGTTAAAAAGCAAGCGGATGCCCGTAGCCTGTTTAAGGTTGAACCGAGCAAAGTCGATAGGGTTTACGACATGCTGGTGCAAAAGGGAATGGCTCAAGCATAGTTAGGTCTCCAATCCTGGTTCTTGTAATCCTGTACAGTTCTGTTTGTTGATTGAAAGGGAAGATCCCATTTCGTTCACTTATCATCGCATGTCCTTTAAAATTCTTCAAAATCTTAATTTGAGTACATCTCCTGAGAATGTGGCACAACAAAATGATTCCGTGCCTACTGTCGTATGCAACTAGGGATTAACCAAATACAGGAACTTAGAGAGTCATAAAACAGATAAGAATGCCTCCCTCATTTACATATTTATCTTTAATACAAGCGATAATAGGGACGGGTTATCAAACTTTTGCACTTGTTTATGTTAATGAGAAATGTTAAAAAAGTTGTAAATTTATGTGCAAATGGAAGGAAATTCTACAAAAGTATCAAATATCACCGTCGTAGACGAAAATGAAAACAATCTCAAAAATAAGAACACAAGAGATTTAACGTGATTAGGCTTAAAGCCTACATCCACAGGCAAAGCACGGCGAGGAATTTCACTAAACAAACGGAGATTACAAAAGAGTTTAAATACTCACAATCCAAATCCCACTAAACCAAACGAGTAAAGAACCCAAAAAAAAAGGGAAAAGATTCCCTCAAACTACTCTCTAACTCACAAACTTACAAATTGACTATCACCAAATTACCACATGAATAAGCCACACTAAATAAACTAACCCTAATCTCCTATTTATTGAGCATAAGACTGAGGTTTACATAGGAATCCTAATAGGAAGAAAATCCAAATCCTAATCAAATAGGCAATAAACAAATTCTCTCCACCAAGAAAAGGTAACCAACTAAGAAGTCAAAATTCAAACCCAAATAGAACACTAAAACCAAATAGCTAACATGTACCTAATTTCGAGACGCAAAACCCAACAAAAGGACTCAAAAGTAAGACTTTCCATGGATTCTCTGTCATCTTATGTTTTTTGCACAATATTGTATAATGTTAACACGAAAATTAATGTTAAACTGTAAAGTAATAAAGAGTCGACAATTTAATAATCTTCTTAGCTTTTCTTTTATGTTAATTTGGGTGTAATCGGTACATCAGTTGGGAACGCATAATAAATTAGCAAAGGGGGCTTATTATCACTATTTTTGACCTTTCATACGTCTTTGTATTTCAAGTCATGAGATTAAATAAATCAGTAAACAATGAACAGTATCAAATAAGTAATGTATAAGGATGGGCACGGACCGAGCTGGGCTCAAATTTAGAGATATCAGACCCTACCCGTTTTAATCTGTAACGGGGCAAGCCGAGCCGGGGTGAAGAGATTTTGAGTTTTAGAATCGACCCTAACCTGGCCCGTTTCAAACGGACCGGTTCGGGCGGATCCATAGTTCCTATTACATTTATTTTTTCTTTAGCACAAAAATAACAATGTCATTCAAGTCGTCTACCTCAGTGGTCGAGCAACCGCCTCCTCCGTGACAACCTAGATGCTCAAATCGGATGGCGCCGGAAAACCCAGATGCAACAATGGCCAAATAGCGCTAGAAAACCCAGATGCAGCTCAGACCGTTAACGTCGTCTTCCTTATTCGTCATCTTCATCGATCTAGAACCATAAACCCACCCAACCAACACAAAATCAGAACCACAAAACCCAACACCCACAAAATCCCAAAACCCGAAAACATAAACTGACCAGGTTAAATCGGGTCCCGTCGTACTAAAATCCCTTGTACCACTGCATCGTCTTCCCTGTCACCGTTTGTGCTGCTCATGCGTCTCTGATTCTCTGCAACTTTTGGATGATGGGAGGGATCGCAATCGATGGAGATGAAAGGGACCTCAATCAATGGTCAAATGGTGGGTGGGAGGGACCTCGATCGATGAAGAACAAATAGAGACGAGGAAGAAGCAACGATGAACCGACAGATAGAAAATGGATGAAGTCGTGAGGTCTGACATCGAGAGTCGTGATACCTAGATTGGGAGAGTGATCGAGAAACTCTCAGCTCGAATAAAGTCGTGAGGTTTGTGTGTTGTGTTGTGTGTGTTTGTGGGAATGAAAGGTGCACGGTGGAGATTAAGTGTGATGATGGATACGGTTCAGGTCGAGGGTCCGTGTCCTCAGATATTGGACCCTTCCCGCCCTGTTTTCTGTATATACTATATTGGATCCGTCCCGACCCGCGAGTTCAAGATCCATTTGCCTACCCTTTTAGTGCACCACAAAAAGATGTGTTTGTCATTTCCCATCGGTAAAAGATTCATGCAGCAAACAATTATTCAGTCATTGTACTTGACTTTGGAACTTTATGAATTTTGAATTTACAGCTTGTACTAGCTTTCACCCATGCATGTGGAAGAAGAATCCACAATAATAAAGAGAGAGAAACAAAAACAGAAGCCCTCATATATTCACTGTTCACTCTACGGAATACAAGTCAATAAAAATCAGAAAGCAACTTCTCAGACATAGGCTATAGCTCCAGAACCTGAACAAAACTAGACGAAAAAAGAAAGAAGAAACAAATTGTATAAAAATTGTAAAAAAAGAGTTCATCTTTTGTGTCTGGTGCCAGGTCAAACGCCTCTCTCTCTCTCTCTCTCTCTCTCTCTCTATCTCTGTCTCTCTCATAAATCATTCTGCAGCATATCTGATGATATCACCACCCAAGTCAAAAGTACACTTCTTATGTCAGTTTCCTTTCTCCATCACATTACAGTACATAAACCCACAGGCCACAGAGTCTCCATTTTGCTTTCCTCCCTCGCTCCCTCGCTCCCAATACCCTATTTACCCATTTTAATTATTTTGTTTTCATTAATCCCCTTAACCAAGTTTTGTTTCTTTTTTAAAAACGACGATCTATTATAAAACTACTTCTGTATATGTGCATCGAAATATTTGAACTAGCTCATATGTAACGGAATAGGAGCTGATAGATTGTTCCGTTCAGCCTGATCTAATACGCGTCTACTTAATGACACATTTGGTTGGAAAAGAGACATGATGGATTGTTTATAGGTGTGTGATATCCACACATCCCATTTTACTTCTCACACACTTTTTTAATTTTCGACCGTCGGATCGGATGAATTGAAGAATATCAACGGATAAAAATTATCAAGGGGTATGTGAGAAGTAAAATGGGATGTGTGGATAGTACACCCCTTGTTTATATTAACCTAACTAAGACAATCTCCAACTTTTGAGTTAAAATCTAATATTTAGGTTTTAGTCTTAACCTAATCTTTCTCCAACAGTTGAGACTAAAATAAGTTTTGAGTTAAAACTTAATGTTTGGACAAATTTAACCCAAAATTTAGGTCAATGTTAAAAGGCTGGCACACCGAAATCTAGGTTTTAAACTAACCCAATCATTTTTCCAATTGTTGGAACTAAAATAAGTTTTGGGTTAAAACTTAAAATTTAGGCAAATTTAACCCAAAATATGAATAAATCCAATGGTGAAAAAAAAAATTTAACAGATTAAAATCGAATATGATCATCAAATTAAATAATATAAATAAAGATTTGAAGGCCCAAAATTGAATCCAACAACTCAAACAAGTACAAAAATTATTTAAATCAAAATTCACCCAAAAGGTCTATAAAATACACTTTTCATGAGGCCAGTATAGTAAATTTCTAATTGTTGTCGAAATCTAAATATTTTTAAGTTAAAATGTTAATCAAAATATATTATGATAAGCTACATAAATCTTATTTTTAAAATGTTAACAAAATATAATTTTGTATAAATTTATTCCTTCATAAATCCGGGTTAAAATTTTAGCCTAGAATCATTAATGCAAAAAAAGTATATTAAAACCTAAAATTTTTTAATTAAGAATTTAAGCTTCAACTCCAACCATTGAAGCAGAAATTAATACACATTTACTTACATACTTGGTAAGAAAATAGGCTTGATAGCTTGTCCACGATGCGTCAACTTATACATTTGAACACCGCATAGTGTGATAATTGATCCGTTAACACTGCATATCAATCAATGATTATATCTTCATTGAATTTTAATCAAATACATTTATCACATTTCACATCATGTGATACTCCAATAATGTCTGATAAATCCAACATAACTCTATATCAAAGTTAAATTTAACCTCCTACACTAAATCACTACTCAATCTGCTGCACCGAAGTCCCAAAGGTGCAGTCTCGTACCCCCCGAACACGCTGCGACATGTCGTTCATCGCATACCAAAGCGTTCACTTCCCCAATCCTCTCCCTGAAACTGTACAGATAGGCCCCCCTCTCCACCTCCCACACCCTCACCACCCCACCGACGCACATTAGCGCGCACCCTTCGTTCATGCACCCCATCACCGCCATCTGCGCCGCCCCCCTCACGTTAAACCTGCACACCTCCTCCAGCGTGTCACTCCAGCGCACGCTAGCCAAACCCCTCCTCCCCACAATAATGTACGCCGACCTGCTCACGTCAGCCGCTCCCACAATTATCCCTCTCCTATACTCCTCACTCAACACAATTCCCTGATTCCTCAGATCGAAGACAATCACACGCGCGCTCGTGCACGCCACGGCCGTTTCCCGACTCGTGACTCGGACTCGCCCCACGGCCTCGGTCATCTCCGTCAGCATGTGCCACCCCATCACGGCCTCCGGATCCGACAACGTCCCGCCGACAAAAGTCAATTGTTCAGTCAAACCATCCCAAATGTGAAACGTCCGACCCGGAACTCCTGCGTACAGCCCGACCCACCATCTTTCGGAACCGGTGAAGTCAACCAAAACACCGTCGTTTACTACGTCACCCAAGTGGGCCCTACGAGTGACCTGCGGGCCGTTTATGACCGCCACATGGATGTCTCCGTCCAGCGTGGCAAAGGTGAGAGTAAAGTCTGTCATCACGATGCCGGTAACGGCTCGGGAGAATCGGCCGAGGCGGTCGCGGAGGTGGGGCCGGAATGTGCTGACGTGGAGGCGGGTGGCGAGGTCGAAGAGGCGGACGGCGCCGTCGGCGAAGCCGCAAGCAAGGTGGGCGTCGGAGAGAGTGAGGCACCGGCAGGTGAGGCCGTCAGGGTCTTCCACGTCGGATAGGTCGAAGTGGAGGGTCGTGTGGGCTGACCTCGGGGTCCGGAAGTTTGTGGCCGTCCGATGCCAGTAGATGTACTCGTCGCGCCACGTGTCGCGGATGAGAATTGTCCGGCCCCAGATACGGCGGGTAAGGCGATGCCAGAGAAGGTTAGAGCGCGAGACGGCGCGCCACGTGGAACAAACCTGCACATCGGAAAAAATGTCACGTACTAGATGAGTTTCAGTATGTAGGTTACTAGTTCATGCACTGCATGCATGTTATATTGTACGGAAAATATGAGAATTAAAACGCACAGCATAAGGAAGTGTTACTCATATGCTATTTTTATCACATTTTTTTATTATCTTAAATGATAAATGAGTTGGACAAGCTACATCATTTAATTTCAATTTTTTTATTAATTAAAACACTTAAATCATTTTAATTGACAAAAGAAGACTTCTCGAATATCCTAATCATCATTTAATTAACAATCTTTTTATTAATTATTGATTAACTATTTTTATTTTTCATTCTTATTAATTTTTTGTTTATTAATTTCTTTATTTCATACAGTCCGTCAACGTAAAAAATTTTAATATAAACATATATTGTAATCTAATTAATTACATGTGGAAAGATCGGCACGCATGCACGAGTAGGTAAGGATAATATGTGTATTTAATGGACTTGGATTGTCTACCCTCTCATTTCAATGCCCTTCTGTTTGTGTGATCACGGTTAAACCACGTCAACGTTTTATATTACTATTTCTTTTTGTTTTATTATTTTTATAAAAAAACAATATAAAATGTTAACGTGGCTTAACCGTAACTACACAAAACAGGAGGGCACGGGAAAAGCAACGAAATGGGAGGGCAGACAATTCAAGTCCGTATTTAATAGAGGGGTCAGAATCTACGGGTACGAATAGCGGTGTCAGATAGGGTATGTGTTTTAACCAGTTAAAAGGCAGTTAATGGAATGGCACAATGTAATTAATTAACCACCATAAATTGACCGCAAATTGTATACAAGCAAAAAGAAACAAGTACAATATTACAATCACCATCAAGGACAAAATCTCTTTCAAATCATTAATCAACTTGGTACGTGCAATATTATTCAATTTGTTTAACCAATTATAGATAAGAGGCAAGCAGAACCCCAACTTAAATAATTCTTCTAATATAAAAATAAAACAATATTATCAAAGACCTAGATCCCTTTCTAATTACTAATTAATTATGTGGGTTGAATGGTTTTTGGGATGTTAGCAAATATTAGCTAGGGCAAATAACACAGGGTGGACAGGGAAGAGAATCAAATGCAAAACCCTAGACACACACGGAGCAGACGGTTGATGCCATGCGCGTAAACCCTAGAGAGACAGAGAGGGCCTTGAAGGTGGTCCCCGAGGGCAGGCAGCTCAGCTGGCAATCAGCAGAGCCAGAGAAAGAGTAAACACTATAGGGAGGAGAGTGGCAGGGTACGTAGTAGGAGAATAGGGGCTGTGGGAGAGTAAGAGAAGAGTGAGGAAGAAAAGACATCAGCCAGAGAGATGTCTAGAAAAAGTGTCAGCTGTGTAGTGTACAGTTACTGATGAATAATTATCATTTCATCACTTCTGCAAATCTCTCATCTTCCCTACCAACCCCCCCCCCCCCCCAAAACCCCAAAATCCCCAAAATCCTTCTGTATCTGTACGTATTTCTGTACATAATGTTGCTGCCTGAGTGCTGTATGAGCATTATTTGTTAGAGAAGGATTCTCTTTAATTCTAATCTCTATTTGATATCAGTTGATATCAAATAAGGAGTAAGGTTTTTTTTCTTCTTATTTTCATCTCCTTTTTTTCTCCCTCACTTTATTTTATATTTTATTGTCTCTATAAAAAATTTAATATAAAATATTAATATAATTTAACTGTATTTATTCAAATAGGAGAATTCTAATCTCTATTCCCTTCTCTTTATTTCTATTTGAATTCTTATTTGAATAGATACAATTAAATCACATCAATATTTTATATTAAATTTTTTATAAAGATAATAAAATAAAAAATAAAATGTGAGAGAAAAAAAAGAGATGACCTTACCCCTTATTTGATATCGACTGATATATCGATCCAGCCGACTATCATGGACACTGGAGACTGACACCTCTCTCTCTCTTGCTCTCTTCCTCTCTGCTTTTATTAATTATTACTCAATCCAACGTATACCTTACAAGAAGCAAAGTACAGGACTATATTCGTTTGCATTCAACAAGATAATAAGAGATTTTCTACAGTTTGTTTGTAACAGTAACTAAAATCGATATATTAAAGAAATTGGAACTTCAGGTGAGCACACTATTGTTTGTAACAGTAACTAAAATCGATACATTGGTTTTTGCCTCTCAAATTATTGTTCAGAAATTCAATGAACAAAATCTAACGAATTATACTTATCCTGGAACTTTCTATACAGATATATCAATACATAAAAAATTGTTCATCGGACTTCGATTTTAACACTTTGTAATATCATTATATATTCATGAAAAAACATAGCTAGGGACCATGAAAGGGACAAAGATCGAACATCTAGATAACTAATCATGTGGTCCATGGAGGAAAGATCTACCTAGCTAGCAAGGATAATAAAGCTATGAACAAACATACACATACATCTTGACATAATAAAAACATAGGATTGCAAATTTTGCGTACTTCCCCACGTATATTTGGCTTTCATTTCCAAGAAAGGTGTAGCCAAAGCCTGTCTCGTTAAAAGCAGAGAATCTTTTCTTCCCCACCCCTACTTTCTTTGACTCCTCTAAATCCCACCCGTGCGTGCACTACTCATGCACGTTTTCCTGCTCTAATTGGATCTTCTTTCCCCTTTCTTATCTTTTTTGGTTTTTTTCTTGCTTTTGGAGACTTGATCATGTACGTGTTCTCGGGTAATGGTTTCATGCTTACTGTGTAACGTATGATATTATTTTATGTTCACAAACATACTGATCTATATGAAGATTTTCACGAGGGAAATTCCGTTTTGCAGAAACAGAAAATAGGTAGGTTGGCGATCGCTATATGACACCACAAAACGGGATCAGGCTCCTAAATAGGCTTGTATATCATCTATTCGATCAAAAGAGAACACGGTTTCATATGGTTATGCAAATTTAAGTATTGTCTGCATACATGTTAAGCGGTGTGACAAAAGAATACACTTTGTTACGATGATTGTAACTTTCTTTTTAATCTTAGAAGAGTATATACTTCAAAAATATTTTTAGAAAGAAGGGTGAAATTATTTTAAAAATTTATCAATTTTTCAAAATTTAGCTAGGCTCCCAAACAGTTTTCAAACATTCAAAAAAGGGCAAAGCAAGTCTTAAAAGACGAACAAAAGGAAAAAAAACAAAGAAGCAAACACAGAGAAATAACAAGTCACCGGATGGTATTGCATAGCATGTTAGTAAGAGACAAGCACACTTCTGGAGTTGACAAGTAGACATCAGCTTGTAAACCAAACAAGCATTGGGTTCCGTTTACCCAATAAAAAAAAAAAAAAAAGCATCGGGTTCCATGTGCTGTATGGCATACGCCACTTGCATCAGTTGCATGCAAGGTTTTTTGACATGGCACCCATCAACTGTCAGAGATCTCTACATCTCAACCCTCTCCTCAATCTATGCATATCTACCTCCCTCATATAGAAGCCGTTTGGATTCACATCAAGCTCAAGGACTTTTTCTTTTTACGATTTATTTGAATTGTTTACGTTTTCTAGGGCATTAACTTCGACTTGAAATTCCTTTCTACGATTTTAGATTATTTTCATCCATACAATTTATGTGATTACATGATTTTTTTTTTTTTTTTAATCTCTTCCGAGTTCAAATTTTCAAAATTTTCATCTTTCACTTAGTCTAGTTTCCACCGGTGGTTTAGCCTTTAGTAGTAATATTCGATTGTAATACTATTTAAATCCAGTAGCATTTTGTTTTGTTACTTTTTAAATGCTGAAAACATAATATTTTAAGTGTCAAAAACATAACATAACCTAAAACAGATCCAACGGTGATATATTCCTGGAATCTTGTTCTTGACGACTTGCATAACAGATTTACAATAAATTAGAGAAAAAAAAAACAAGATAATGAATTTTTGTACGTTACTCGCATGAATAATTTTGTACTTTAAATTCCAATTTAGTCTGAAATAAAGTGCACTATAATATTCTTGCATATAGTACTGAAAAACTCAAAAAAAAACAAAAGAGGACATTAATGGCTATCGCAGCGAAAATATAACTGCAAAGAGAAACGTTAGTTAGATATAGAAACGTACAGTTTTTGTACAATCAAGCCTCGGCCACTCAGCTTCCTAAATTTTGCTATATGATTCCAAATGGTAAGTGATAAAACCAAGCTTTAAAGGTCCCTATCCGAGACAAGAAGAAGAAGAAGAAGAAGAAGAAAGGCATCCCAATAAAAATTTGTAGAAAAGCTCAGTCAAAAAAGCAGAGGGAGAGAGAGAGAGAGATTGCTAGAGCTCAAAAGGGTTACATGCCAATAAAGGGAAAGGAAAATTAAAGCCAAAAGAACCCTTTTCCGTTGGATTTGGAAAGGGAAAGGAGAAAAAAAAAGAGTAGTGCAAAATTAGTCCCATTTTTGTGAAGTGGGAAAATCCAAAGAAGCTTACACAATCCCCCCTGCTTGTGAAAGGGACATTAAATTATTGTTGCATAGAAGAGATTGAGAAAATGACCCTTCAAAAAAGCAGTTACTTTCTGAAGCAAAACAGTTTCTTCTCTCGGATGCTCATAGCTAAACCAAGTAACAAACTAAAGTATGCAACAGTGTGTCCATCTCTCCGACTAAACTCGAATCTTCCTCTCCGTAGTTTAAATAAACCCGATCCGAATTTGGTAAGGCGGACTAGAACAAAACCCAGAACTCGTTGTACTCGTTTATAGGTGATTACAGAAATTTTCTCGTGTTTTCACCAACAAAAAACAAAACAAAACAATACCCATAAACCAAATTATTTTTAGTTTTTTTAATATTTTTAGTTTTTTGGGGAATCTCAATTGAATTAAATTTGGTCTGGCAGCAGGGTCTTCTAGTGTAATAATACATATATGATGCCCTTTGACTAGACTAATATTTTGTCCATTTTTGGAATAAAAACCATCAGTCTCTCAGTATACCTAGTCGGATTCTAACGCAGCTTACCATGCCAAACTTCCCAAATAATCAAATTAAAGCATAAATTTTCATATTTCGCATTGCTACACAATTTCTAAATCAAAAACCTTCATGTGCAATTAGTTAATGTACTAAAAAGAAGGGGTGGAGTGTTAATAACTGTTAAATTTTATCAGAAAACGCACCTGAAACACATTAGCAAGGGCAGGAGCAGCGGCAAGTCGTCCGACGGCGCGGGAGGCTTCAGTGGCAACTTGAGAAGCGAGAGCTTCCACAAAAGGCTCAGGCCAGACCTCGTTTACGGCACGTCGTCTGGAAGAGGATGGCCCTTGGAAATCACCACCTCTTTGTACATGGCTAGGGCCAGCTCCATTGGCACCGTCGTCTCCATTTCCATCGTGGGATGTGGGGGAAGAAGAAGATGATGAAGTTGATGATGGAGCAGAAGAGTAAGAGGTAGACATGAAGGAAGGGGAAAAAGGTGGGAGAAGAACACTTGAGAAAGGAACACAAGGACAAAAAGATCTTGGACAAAGACACAATTTAAGTGAGGGACCCAAGAGAGGGTCTTTGTGATTCTTGGATATATATACGCAATTTCACACTCGCATCCCCTCTGTCACTGTATCAAATAATCTAAAATATAAACAATGCTCTGTTTTTTTTTTTTTTTTTTAAAGTATAAACAATGCTCTACTGAGAGGAGGAACAATTTTTATGACAAGACGTTATTATGTCAATGTACTCGCTGCAATACAAGTCATTTTAGATGTACTTAATTTTTTGTTCAATCAACGAGTAATGTTAGGAGAATAAAATTTGAAGATTAAATTTGTAAATTAAATAATATAAAAATTAATTATTACTTAAGTATTTATTAACTCATTTACGTCTTATTGATGACAAACCATTTAATTTATAAATTTAGTTTACTTAATACTACTCCCAATCAATTGTGATTAGAGTAATGCTAGAAAGACTAAATTTGCAAATTAATTATCAACTTCCATACCCTTTAATTTTCAAAACTTTTTCTACAAACTTGTATATTTTTATCTTAAAAATGGTATAATTAAAAAAAAATTTAATCAACGTTTAAAGATCATTTTCCAAAAATTAAAACAAGTTGAAGATTGTTTAATAAAAAAAAAGAGAGAGAAAGTGAATTCGCTATAGAAATCATAAAGTATTTATTTTATAGTTCAAATTAATTGATTGAGAATGTGAATTTTCTTTAACAACAAAAAACTAATGCTAGACTAACCAATAATAATTTTATCTTCAGCCCTTATCTTCTTATTTTTATCCATTGATTCTTCTTATATATTCAATCCAGGGTAAGTGCATGGGATAATATAGAAACGTAAAATTCACTTCAGATTTCTAAATTGATAGTAAAGATAATCAATTTATGACATAATATATTTCAAGACAATCAATTTATGAGATAATACAGATTTAGTTTCCCAACCTGCAAAGACGGCCGCTGGGAGGGGTGGGGTTTCTGAAACCGCTGGGTTTATGGGTTAACCCTGGATTTTACAGGGGATTTGTAGCCCTAGCTCTCTTTGGTCCCTTTTGGTCTCCCTGCATCTGTATCAGTTGCAGATGTTTGTCAAGAAAATGGACATTGTCAGTTTTTCAAAAACAAAAGCAACAAAATACCTCACTCTTTCGGAAAGAAACCAAGAATTTTTTTTTTTTTTTTTTTTCTCTCACGAGGATGTTTATGTTTTTGAGAGGAGTGCTGTTAAATAGGGTTCTAATTAAGAAAAACTAATTAAAATAACTTGAAAATTTGGAGTTTTAACGATAAAAATAAAATAAAATGTAAACTGATTAGTATCGGAATTGACTTTTTAGTGTAAAAATATGATTTTTCGTTAAAGTGAACCCAATCGAGAGTTTTTCATTAAAGTTCCCTTCTTATTATTGACAAAAAAAAATAGCATTCTTATTAGGGAGTTGTGAGTACTAATAAGAAAGGTTCTAAAAGAAGTAGATGCTAGTCGGGTGACGGCCGGAGTCTAGCGTTTAGGTGGATAAGACAAATTTAAGTAAATTAATTATATATCGTATAAATAAATGTTTGTTTATTTAAAAAAAATACATAATTATATTATGATACATAAATTGCAAAATAAAATTACATATAGATTGTAAAGTATAAGAACATATAATGAGTGTTCATCCAAATATTCAACAAGTCTCTTACATTTTATTTAAAACATAAAATACAAAATGAAAGTTATCGGTTTTCTGTCTAAATGAGAGTCGCAACCTAGACGGGTGGCCAGGTGGCTAGGCTAAGCCTAGGCAAGGGTCTATGCGTCATTTCTTAATTTTCAAACGCATACTGTTAATGAGAATAGTGACCAGCAGCCTAACGTCTAGACGGGGCCTAAACGGCGCTAGACGAAGATTTAGAACAGCGGTAGTAAGTAGCAATTGGTGTTGCTGTACTGGAGACCCCTGGTCATATTAGTAACTAATAGGTCTAGTTAGTTCCAAGTCCTTGATGATCGATGAATTTTATTATTCAAATTTGTTACTTCGTATTCGTATGAAGTCATGTAATAAGACAGAAACGTCAACCACTGTATTCATCCGATGCATAAAAATTATTTTGTAGTTCGTAGCGTAAAATACATAAATAAATTATTCGTGATTCATCAAATTAAACTTTAATTACTATTCTATCCTTAATGGTGTTCTATTTGTGCTAACATATTTCTTCTCTTGCATTATTGTACTTAGTAAGCAAAATCAAATCATCAATAAACTTGAGGGGCAAAAGCAGAGAAACATAAGAAATCTCAGCAAAAGAAAAATTAGGTGACAATGATTAAACATCTGAACTGTGGGAGTTGAAAAATTAGTGCCCTTGAATCAATAGAGGTTATGAATTTATAGATATGTGAAAGAGGGAAAAAATTATGAATATTAACGATGGACTCAAAATGTGATGTGATGAACTTGTGAGTTGTGAGAGTGAAGGTTAGTTTTGTGATAAACAAACTATCGTTGTAGTGCAGTGGTATATTTCTTCTTATTAATATTAAAAGATGTTTCAAGTTTGAATGTTCTTCTCAAACATATTTAATTGTATCCTATGTGTTCATGAATATTTTGACAATCCGATTAGTCAAAAAAGTGAAACCGTTTAATTCTGGATGATCCATCCATATCCAATTTTGTAATCGAATTCAATCTCTTCTTTTTTTGTCGAAGTTTTCCATCTCTTCTAGATCAAAGAAAACTTTGTATCCAATTGTTGAGCGGTTTTCCTAATATCTATTGAGTAGCTTGCTTACAATATGTGCTGCTGTACTCGAGTTGGAGTTGAAAATTTCAGAGATTCAAGGAACTTGATACAAAGTTTTGTAGGTGCCGAAAACATTATTAAGGGAAGCGTGGAACTGTGTCCGCCATTCTTTGTACAATGACCACCGCAGCTATATATTAGGAGATGATTGACGATACATGTGCCATGCACAAATTGCATGCTGTTTTAGTACATTACTTGTATAATAAAAGTAGAAAGACAGTCTCTTCACCTATATTTCAAGAGATGTTAAAGAAACTCTCTTAAAAGTGGATCTTATTGTAGATTCTTTGTCATTTTATGTTTTTGAAACAATATTTGATAATGTTATTACAACAATTAACATTAAATTATGAGATGACATAGAGTCATATTTTGAGAGAATATCTTTAACAAATGTATGTGGTGTACTGGGTTATTTTCCAAATACATACATTATGTGTCATAATATATGATTACATTAGTTAACTCTCGAATAGGGCTTGAAAAGTCCTCGGACTTCCACATGGTTTTTCTTTTGGATAGTTGTACAATGTTGGACCTTGCCAATACAGTCCCTTATAATTTTCTTGATTATTTAGTTTCTTGTTTGGGCAGAGAGAATGGAAAGAGATAAAGATATTAAGGCTTTAAAATCATTATTTTTTTGCTAAAGATTAAAGGCTGTCTTTAGGTCTTGTGTTTATCCACTTTGGATTAGTATTTCTAGTTTCTACTTTATTATTCATCATTTTGTTTTGTTTTCTGACTCTTTTACATGTCCACATAATTTTGTAGATTCGATCACATATTTTAGTTATATAATTTCGTTTATTTATGATACTAGTATATGATAATTTTTCCACTGTTTTAGTATATATTTTTGTGAGATTATGTAATCAGGACTTATTTATTGTGATAGGGCAAAAGTGTTCTATTTATAACTTTTGCACAGGACTCCCGAAATTTCACAAACAACTATGTTTAGATTCATATCGTATTGTGAAAAAGAAAGACAAACATATGTTTCCTAACCTAAAAACAAGAGTTTGGCTCCTTAAGTTTGAGGAAAAGTTCATCCTCAAAATATTTTGTGGCTTATCTACAGAACTTTGTCTTTATAACCGAAAGTTCATATTATAAATTACTCGGTTAAATTCATCTCTGCAAAAAATTAATTAAAACTACGATTATTTAGTCAATCAATTCCAGCAAATAAATAGACGCATTATAATACGTATATAAATTTGTTCATTTGATTTTACATAGTTTAATGGATAAACAACTTTATTTTTAATTTTTTTTTATAAAATAAATTTTTACGTAATAATTTATTATATGAACGATTAGCATAAAGAAATACTATAAATTAGTCACAAAAAAATATAAGAAAAACTAACGAAAATTCTAAAAAAAAAACCTTAGTTTTAGTTAAAAATGACAAATTAAGATGCAATAAAATAGTACCAAAAAAATGTAAAAATATGAATTTTCATTAAAAATTAACAATACCGAAAATGTTTCATTAAAACTCCTAAAAATATAACGAGAAAACAAGTTTTTCTCAAACCTAAATCATATATCTATCTGAAATCGAAAAGAAGAGAACAAAAAGGGCGGGCGTGCAAAGAGGCAGAGGATAAGCGCGTGGGGAAGAAGAAGAGGAAAGGGTATGGGGCCAGAGGAAAGACAGGAGAGTGCTTTTTGACTAGAATGGCATGCTCATGTCTAATCGGCTAGCCCTGTCTCGATGGAATATAACTGAAAGATCTTTTTTAGCAAAGTACAACTCCCCTACCTCTCTCTCCTCTGTCCGTGTCTCTCTCTCTCTCTCTCTAAAAGGTTTGGATAAAAAATACGGATGAAAATAGCTAGAGTAGGAGAGTAGGCAGCTACTGTTATTAATTGTCAGGTAATAGATATACTAGTGTTCGTAGGGTTCCTGCCACAGTCAGTCTGTAACTATCATAACCATATATCCTCACCCCCTCTCTCTCTCTCTCTCTCCTCACACAGCCACAGGTAGAGAGAGAGAGAGATAAAGCCCATCACTGGCTGGCCTGGCTTCTGCTTCCTTCTGCATGCCCTGCTGCTTTCAAATTTCAGAAAAATTTATTCATCCTTCTGTCAACCCTATCATAAATATGGACCTTCCTTGGTTAGGGGCCCAACTTGCCTTCTTTTGTTTTCATTCTTTATTTTGATTAATAGAAATGTTAAAGAGATTCTCGCAAAATCGGAACATTTTATAAATTTTGCTATTT